ACTTGGTTTTGGTATGGACAAATCCATTCCTTCCTATTTCCAAGCCTGCCATTGTTTTAAATTGGCGAGATTATGGTGGTGAGATCGGATGGTTTGGGATACGACGACTTGCGTTTTATTGAAAACTGGCTTTCCCTTTACCAAAGGCGGATTCGTTAAAACACAGAGCCTGTTAGTGTCGAACAAAACTGAGATAAGAATGGAAATCATTTATGCTTAATTTCAATGCTTGAAAAACTTCCGATCCAATAAGTTCACCATTTTGATTTTGAATGAGCAATCGGCTATCAATTTGCGATCCTCAACTTGCTTTGGTTCAGCAAGTGCGGAACTTTCCCAAATTTCACTTTTCCTAACTCATTAAATGGCGATTCACAGTTGATCGGGCCAGTCGTTTGAAAGTTTGGTCGATTTTACTTGAAACAATCTTGATTGCGACTGTCTGATCTAAATGGGCCTTTTAGCGTGGTTCTCGAGGGTCATTATCAATTTGGCAGTATGCACAACTGCACCTTCCAATTTTATTCAGCACAGTATTGACTATCAAAGTGGTCGATTAACATAATTAATCGAAAATTCAAATTTGCATGGCCCTGAGGTTTTTTTAAAATAATAATTAAGCTTGCCTATTTTATCTCATTTTTCAGAATATGCAAGCGAGTATCTCGGTAGAATTTTAAAAACTGATTTTCCAAGTTTCGTGAAAAGTAGGTCGTGAAAACCAGCAGAAGTGTGTTCTTCCAGTTAAAAAAGTTTCTTTTTAAATTATAACGAACACTTTTAAGTGCTATAACTTTACTTACGTCCCAACCCAAGCGCTTCTCGAGTCGACTAAATGTAGAAGACACTAAAAAAAAGTCATAGCTATATATTTCTTTATCATTGTTACATATCGTTTAAAAAGTAAATTATAATTTGTGTTGTGTATGCTTTTCTGTTTAAAAAAAACTTTCAGCTTGAATTCATTGGGAAGACGCTTCCGTTTAAATCGAACCGTTATCTCAGAATCCAATGTATATCATCAGAGGAGGATTTCTTCTCTCACTGTTGTATAAGAATGATTTGAATAAAACCACTGTAATTTCATGTCTACGTTGTAATTTTCCAGTTGACTTCCGAAAGCGGTAGCATATGAACGAAAAGGGCCGCATTTATTTCCTTAAGACGGAGCCCTTTGGTTAATGGGCAAAGATAAATAAAGACTCCTGCTGTCCACAGTGTTACGCAAGGAAAACACGTGTAAGGGGCGTTCACCTCGGCTCACCACGTGACTCTTGTCTGCACTGGGATCCATCCTGGCCAGACGCCGAACCATCATGATTCGTTCTAGCCCGTACCTCCTTCTTTTTTCCGACGTGACCCAATCAAGAACAAATCGTTAACAATCGGTTTCCGATCGTTGATCTTTCAGTGTTACCGTCCTCTTCGCCGATTCACTGGATGCCATAATTGGACGCCGATTTCAAACCAAGATTTCCATGTCACAACGAAATATCTGCATTATCGGAGCATTAACCTTTCATTTTAATACCTGTCTCTAAAACCAGAGAACTTATATCATACTCAAGAGAACCAATGGTAAAATTAACGAAATTATATTAAGAATTAGCAGCAGGCTAAACCTAAACGGATATGAATTGCAAAAGGAAGTCACCAGATTTACTTTTATGTAAACAGAAGTCCTTTATGATTTTTGTCTAAACCTTCAGTAACTTCTACTGTGTTACCACGACAATTTATGAGTTATTCATCCGTTACCACAGCCAAGTTTAAATCACACAAATTATATTCCGATTTCTCTGCCTATTCTTGACAGTTAAGGCAATTTTCTGTCTCAATTTTTCACGTTTTTCACCGATTCTGCAGAACTATGCCCGCCTTACCAGAGGTTTATTGTTTGGGTTCCTGTTTCAAATAATTATAGATTTTGCAGATTGCGTCAAAATCAAATTTCATTCCAGTAAGTGTTTTTCTTTTCTCCACCCTTTTGCTAAGTTTGACGTTGAGACGTTCTTAGTTATGCTGGGTATTCCTGCTGTTCCTTCTTTCGTTAGTTCATCAGCACTGCTGGTACACCTTGTGGCCTTTTCCAAGGTTTTAGAGAGTTTTCTGGCCTGCTCGAAGATTATTTTACTGACATTATCACTAAGACTTAAAGTATGAAGACGTAAAGATCTAAGCTAGAGTATTATATCCAAAGGAAAAAATTGTCTTTACCCCTGCTCACTCCTCGTTGAAGGTTAAAGGAGTCGGCCTCTTTACGATCTACGCGCTTGATCAGTATCGGTCTATTGTGCATCTCCATTATTATCTAGCGCTCCTCATTAAGCTTAAAGCTTTTCACAAGAAACCAAAGTTTTGTAAGGACTTCCGTGTGGATCCTCCAGGACTAGGCTTTTGATCTCCTATGAGTAGGAATCTCAACCTGCATAAGCTTTCGCAACAACAGAAAATGTGTTGCACTATTTCATCTTCTTCTTGACAAATGCTTATACGTTGGTTTTGCTGCTCCAGGTCTGCAGTTATATACGTTATATACCTCCGTACTACTGACCAATCAGCAGTTCAAATATTTAACAGTTCCGCGATAATTTCTGCGATGGTTCTTCGAAGATATTTTTCGAATGCCTCGGTCCTCGAGGATAATACTATTGTCCTTATTCTTAAATCTCTGGTGGATCCACGTTTTTGGCAGTTTGGTATGCCACAAAGGGCTTCAGGGCCAATAGGTGTCCTCATCGAACTTTCCTCAGACAAGTTATCGGTCTCTTCGTTGCCCCTCTGCCCTGTATGCTCGAAAGCATTCCCCTGTGAACTTTATTACCGATGGCCTATTGCCTAAGGCTTATATTAATTCTAGCACTTTATTTCCAAAGATCCAACACCATCTCCTGACCCATACTCGTTCTTAGAGCCATCTGTATACCAGGTATAGTCGGCATTAAAATTTTTCCCAATCTGATCTATCAGGTATTATGGAGTTAAAGCATCAACAGACATCTTCAGAACCTTTCCTGCTTGAAGCTGCTCCAGAAGCTTTAGTTTTTGTTAAGCGAATGTACCTGTCCCTGTATCAGCTGGTAAATTGTGGCTTCTCCTTGGATAAAGATCTGTAGTGGTGGTAGATTCAAAAGACCTCCAAGCAAATAAGGCTTTCCAACTATAATCCAATTTATGTCATTAACGATGAGACGAAATCAAATCAAAATTTCTTCAGTGAAGTTTTATTCTCGAAAACCGGAAAATATTAACGCTAGTCTAGCACGAGGAATGTTGCTGGCGATCGGATGTGCCTCAGATATTTTGATCAATTTAGAAAGGGGATTTAACTCCCGAAAACAAAGAAAACTCAGGAAGGCGTAGAGCTTTCGTTAATTATAATCGACACAGCATTGACATGCAAATGTATTTTCCCTTTTATAGAAACCCGAATGTGTAAGCTCATCTCGAAATCCGGGCGCCGAATTCGTTATCGAAGTAAATTTAAAAGGCCGCCCTGATCCGCTTTCAAAGTGCCACGATAACCGTTCCCTACAATGGGCGGGGGATGAAAAGTGGATTCTGTCTGTCGGGAGATAACGGGGAAAGTAAAATGAAACTTCATTAGCCACTTCCGAAGGCGGGCTTGACACAAAGAAGTTCACGCTGTGCATAAATGTGATTGAAGTGGAATATTTCGTCGTTCACGGTCAATTTCAACAAATCATGTTCCCAACTCGACCAGCTAAACGCATATTATAAAACTCGATCCGTGAGTAGAAATGTCGTTTTATTCCATGACAAGGCAAAGTTTTATATTAGATGAGGCAAAAATTATTATCAGAGCTCAGGAGCTACCCATGACAAGTTTTATTTTCAATAAATGTGTAAAATTCGGTTTAATGTAACATAAAATTGTTTAGTTAAATAAAAAATTCATTGAACCAATCAAAAGTTTCGTTTCTGAAGTATTGTAGACTTGGGATGGTTAGATTGGGGACTTCCAAATGGGCGACTTCAAACTATTCCCGTGTATTCAGTCCAGAATTTTTGTGTGCGCATGTAACATCTCGAGCAACAAAATTAACACAGGTAAAAAAAAAGATGCTAATAATCGGAAATACAAAGAAATACCATACTGTAGAATCTGTTAAAACGGTCAATATTAATTTTACATGAGTGTTTTTGCAGTTCTTACTTTTGACCTTAAATGTTTTTTATTTTATTTATTATTATTTTTACGAGGGTTCGCAACAGCAGAGGCCATATAAACCCCCAGGGTGCCGATGTTTTTGAAAAAAGCCCATTTGTAAGTATGTCGGATTCGAACCCCGGACCTTTACCTTACAGTGATGAGCGCCGTGTCAACGACTAAACAGTTGCTGCCACCGACGCCCCCTTGCACTATGACTCGCCTATTACCTAAAAGCCAGAAATATTTCATTTATGATCGGAGAGTTTGTTAAGACACAAATGCCTGAGGGTGTTAATTGCTAAATATTTCAACAGAGGGAAAATGGTAGATTTTATCGGAGGCAAAGTTTGAAATTCTAAATTCTATTTGCGTGTATTTTGTTTCGACCAACAGCATGTCGGAACTAAAGTTTTAGCAGAATATGTCAAACAGAAGTAAAGTAATCAGCACCAGAAATATCATGAATCTATACAAGCTATCTCGACCCCCCGTCCAACAATAACGGAGCTGGATCCTTTTATTCCGATACCAATTATTTACCCCTCAACCTTATATATATATGTATGTTACATATTATATGTGATTAGTATACTGGAGAATTCAGTAGGAAACTGATATGTAGTTACTTTTATTGTGTCGGAAGGATTTCTCGTTTTAAAACTTCCTGGGTCGAAACAAAAACTTTTTGGTCGAAACGAATTGTCATATCAGACCCATGGTCGAAACGCGGTACGCCCGAATTTTTCGTGAGTGTTGCAAGATGCATGCTTTATCCTAAAAGGCGGTTTTTAAATTTTAGAGTTCAAAAAAGGAAAGAAAATCTTACCGGCTGCTATCCATAAATCATGCCACCGCATGATCCGGTTCTGAAACATACAAAAACAATGTTAGCAATGGATTTTATAATAAGTGCACATATCCAAGAAATGGATTTTTATATACAGGGTGTATTGCAAGTATATGATAATACTCAAGGGGATGAAACTATACGAACAGTATATAACTTATGGACATATGTGTGGTTGGCAGTATTTAACTACATTTTTGGTCTAGTTTCACCGCCTTGAGTATTGCCATCTACTTGAGATACACTCTGTATGTGTAAAAAATCAATGTAATTAAGATTTGAGGGTTTTTTTTTTGGCCTTATGATCTTGCATATTAGCCATGGTATGAATTTGTGTGTGTTCAAATTGGGGGTTATCGGGAAAAAAGGGCCAGAGGCGACAGTGGGAATCGAACCCACAACCGCGGCGTGAGAGTCTCTCATGCTAACCACTCGGCTACCGCGGTCCCCTGGAGATTTGAGGTTTGGCCGTTCACACTCGCTGGCAGAAACTCAACTTCAGCTAAAACTGGACCCAACTGTCATCATTCACAAAAATTATTTTTGTATAAAAGTGTATATGTGTGTTGTATGTATATATTTTTCCTTTAAGCTGAAGTATTTATAAGCTTCAGCACGTTTAATAATGCCTTTATAAGTTTGTACTTTTTAAATAACGATCGTGTTGGAAAATCAATCAAAACAGTAATTTCTAATCAGAAATAGACTTCATTCCATGCTAAAATAACTATTGTAAAATTGGTTAATTATTGTAATTATAGTAATAAGAAAAGATTCAGATATTAAAGATTAGTTTTTAATTTTACGAAAACTGCTACAATACCCTCTAATGTCTGAAACTTGGAAGAAGTTGCCTGAAGTAGAAAGGACTGGTTCCTTCTATCAAATGTTTTCGTTTTCTGAGTCTGAACTAAAAAAAAATTGAATTTATATTTCTTGGATGATAACCTTTACAACTTTGGGTTTTTAAGGAGTTAAACATTGTGTTGGGTAAAAGGGCACGCTGGAATCCCTGATAACGAGAAAGTAGACAAACTGGCCAAAATTGCCACTACAGCTGGGGACCCAATTGTTGGGCTTAACATGACGTGCTTCAATATCCAAAAGATTCTGAAAAATGAAATTCAACTAAAACGGGAGAAAAAGTAACAGTCCTCTTTAGTGGTTAACCAGAATCGTTCCTTGTTTCCAACACTGCAGAAGAATGCCTGGTATGCTAAAGGAGGTAGAAGCAAAGCTTTCTATAGCGCAGTCAGCAGGTTGAGAGTAAACCAACTACATTTGAGACCCTTACCTCTTCAGAATAGATAAGACATCAAATTGTGAGACGTATGATGGTAAGAGAGGACGCCCCCCATTGGTTCCTGGGGTGTCAGGAGTTCGAAGAATACAGAGGGGAATTTCTGCAAAAAGTAGACAGATATATGGCCTTGCAGAGGCCTTTTAATTTCGACCCATTCCTATATTCACGCAATAGTGGAATTTCTAGACAAATGGAGTCTAGAGGTTTAAGGTGATGCTTAAGATTTGGAGATGTCAGATTTGTAAATTATACATAGCATACACCCACTAGCCAATCTGAGAAAACATGGCTGAAGGAAATACCAACGACAGAAAAAGGAGTTATACACGTTTCCAGGTGATGCTCTGGCAGGTGAGTTCACCTAAAATACTTGTGCATATTTTTTAGATGTATAACAGGGACATGATGATCAAATAGCACACCACTAGGCTAAAGAAGGTGGTGAAATGTTCTGAACAAACCAGGATGATCGGAAGCAGGTTCCTCTTCAGTCTTCAATAAAAAATCTCACAATGTCGGTTTTTTATAACAATTATATTTAAAATAAACGCCAGATTTAAAAAAAATCGAATGTGGCTAGGTATTTATTTAATTGCTTTGTACGTTACTATCAATAGGGAGATTACTAGCTCATTTTTGTGAAATGAACAAAATTTGACAACCTTTTTATTGAGAGATGTCTATATGTTGAACTTTATGGGCAACTATTTTTTTGTATAGTTATGTCACATTATGTAAAATTTGAAGTGTATTTCATTTTTGGCCTTAGATCCTTTGAAAAACTGCACTCCCTTCCTGACAAATCGACGGTCCGCCAGCTTTCTGAGACTTGAAGAGCTTATTAGTATGTGTTGTCCGAGTCGAAGGAATATCTCGCGATCTGCTCCGTTGCATCGCACATACATTACGGGCCGATGACTGGGCGGAGAAAGTGTAGCAAGCAGTGGCTCCTCGTAGAAAGTGTTTTTTCGTACTCTGCCGTTCGCTTATGAATCTACATCCGACGTGAAACTCTTCCTCTCTCTGGCCACCTTTCCGCTCTGATCTGAACTGCTCTGGTGGCTTCCGTCAACCGATACTTCCGCCCTGCTTAAACTTTCGACTTAACGTATATCAATCGTTTTGACACGTGATGATGGTGCTATTGGCGAAGATGAAGAGGTTCGAAAGTTAGCAGCAACCAAAGTCATATGCCAGTGTAATAAATTTTGAACCAAGTCATGTTCGTATTTTTCATATTTAACACGCTATTTAATAATTATTAAAACCTAATCCCTACTGTACATTATGATTTGTATCACAATCAGTTAATTTCAATACATAAAGATCCGACGTTCAATGCTTTCCATGCTCTTGTCCTTTTTGTCAAAACCATTTGATTTTTATTGAGGTCCTTTCAAAACGTCTAATCTTCACATATTTGATTTTTGTCTTTTAAGCGCGTTTCCGCAACTCCGTCTTCTGTTGAGATAATGAAAGGAAAAAATCAATGGCTTGCCTCACCCTCCTTAACTCCCTGAGACACCAATGAAGATGGTGAACATATGATTGAAGGGAAAGACCAACACCGAGCATCGTCCAGACTATTCAAAAAGGACCAAACTACATATTTAGTGTACTAGTTATACATATTTAACTATACATAGGTATACATATTTTATGTATGGTATACAGGTAGGTATACATATTATATATATGACAATGTCGAAAAAATAAAATAATTTTAATACTCAGCTTAAAGACTATAAAAGCTCCAATAAATACATTAAAATGAGAATTTTGCTTAAGCACGGCAGCGAGTATTAAGTCCCGTGTTCTGATTCTTTGAGTGAATGTATTTATTAGCGTGAAAGTGTAGCGATGGCGGAATATTGAGTACCCATCGACCTCAAATAAGTTTGTTATGTAATAAGTAGTATAAATTGTACGTAAATAATACAGAATGCACTTAAGAGTGAGTGAGATGGGTGGTTGGGTTTGGATTTCGGAAATTATCGCGTTGGGGGCTGAAATAGCTGACCTAGCTGTTGTTAGCACCGGGTGCCCAACCTGGATGAAAGGATAAGGCCGAGATCTGATCCCAGGACTGCCAACACCCGGCATGGGTCATTCGCGAGGCCTGCCAGTAAAATGCAAAGTATAAAGGGCAAAGTACATTATAAAGTACAAAAGCTGGAATTACCGGTGGACTGCGAGAGATCACCAGCTCAACTCTTGTGTGTGCGTGCAGATTTGAGCTTACATAAATCAGCACTTACATTAAATTTATCATTATATTCTTTTGTTTAGGATTGTGTCTAATAATTTAATTTTTAATAGCTCTAATGATGCTGATATAATTACGATAATAAACCGAACAATTTCAATCAGGCTAATCCAAGTACCTGAAACTGACAAGTTAACACAGCCGATAAATTTTAACCTTTGATCTATTCAGTTACTCGTTGTTTCAACGTTGTTCAGAATAATAGCAAAACAAAGTGAAACAAACAGTAATAAAGACATTAAAAAAGAAAGATAATAAACTATATTAAAACAATTTAGACAATACTTTGTGTGCCTTTTCTCCCACGAAAGGCATCAGACCTTTTAACAAATTAAGTGGTGGCAAATCGGAATGTTGCTGATATATTCTGTAATCTTATAAATATTTATTATATATAAAAAGTTTTTACAATTTAAATGTCCAAATTAAATCTTATGCTTAAAAATGAAATTTTACCGTAGATAACTTTTTATAAGTTCAGTTCAGTTTGTGCTATGTAGCTTTTAACTTCCAGTTTTAACAAATAATGAAGAGAAGGTTGTAGTTAATTTTGTTGCGTTGTAATGCCTAAATTTTTCTGAAGATTGAAACCCTGTCCGATATTTTTAAATTACTGAAAACATAAAAGTAATTACTGGGTATTATAAAACTAATAAGGGTCTGAATCTGGTTTCTCCAAAATATTAGAAAAGATAATCTTGAAAAGAATGAAAGTAACTTTCAGTTTGCTTCTTTTCTGTGCTGTACCCGATTAACGGGCATGCCTCATCATTACAGTTAAGTTTAGATTTTTAAGTTTAGAGTCTAAATAATAAATTGTAGATTTATCCGAAAATCTTAAGTAATCTTTCCAAGCACATAGTTTTTAAATTGACGTGGGCTTGATAAATATGTAATACGTAAATAGGGATAGGGATAGACGGAAAGAGGTGGCCACAAAGTGTTCCGCACCTCGAGATCTATTGTGCTTCTCTATTTTTTTATAACACTGTTTCACTTGCACCTTTTTCTATCCTATTTGCAAAAATCTACATTCACATTGCCCCTACACAGAAGCATAAAACGTATTCTTCGGTATTCTCTTCTTCCTGGTAGTATCTGCACAGGGTTTCTTCTAAGTTTCTATGAATCTTCGCTTTCTTCATTTCTGGGGTTTGTTCCACCAAGTTTTGAACTTAGGGATCCATTTTTACATATATCCTTTTTTTGTGGTAAGGTGCTAAGCCACGGTTCGGTTTGGGGCCTAGAGAATTCATATTGGCTCCTTTTTTCCCCAACATATCTGCCCTCTCATATCCTCATGTCCCGAATGCCCAGGAACACATGCCAAGGTCAGGTCGTTAGTGTCACTGACTTCTGCCAGGGATTCCATTCGGTTTTTGCCTTTATCTCACTTGAGTCAAAGATCTCGGTCCAACTTTTAATAGGTCAACATTGGTCTAATGACACA